CGCCCCGCCGTCACGCCACCGCGTTCGCGTGATGCTACGCTTGTGAATCATGGCTGGCATGTCAGAGCGAAGGCTTTCGCATCTCAAACTGCTAGTCGTCGTCAGTCGTTCGCTCAGTCAATCACAATGGTGACAGTCATTTCGATGTGCACTTCATATCATTCACGATTATCACAGCTTTGATCACACAGCAATGGTCAATGCCCAAGCAGTCGGAAGCTGAAGTACTGTCTGTTTGTCGACTGTGAAGCAAGTCCGAAAGAGGACCTGTCACAACCCTATACCTGCCGCTTGATCACCGACGCTCGTACACCGCCGCCAACAAGACGAAGCTTGTGTGGCCCTACTCATTCACAACAAGCAAAGGTCATAACGAACACCATAGCACTTGTCACACATTCCACAGGGATGGATATCGTCCTATTCTAGAGTCCGAAGGGGAGGGAGAAGTCACACTGGCTCATGGACGCTGATAAAGGATCAAGAGGTCATGTCAGACATCGCCAGACTATGACGATCTCTTCGCCCGGTGTTATTCAACGATGAAGTAGTACTTACCTGAAGTGTTGCGTAGGACTTCACCCCTCGCAGCTTGGACGTCGCTCGTGGTGGTTTGCGGGGGACTGGCCCACTCATTGGAGAATGGAAGCTCTTGAGAGACGACAGGAATTTGCGACATTGTGCAAAGCGACGGGGTTCGGGGCGGAGAGCGATTTGTGATGAGTGGGGGGAAGGCAGGGTTGATGAGTTGCGCTTGTTGTGACTTAAGTAATGCTCCATGAAGGGAATAATACGATGAGCGAATCAAGAATTTGAGTGCAAGCTGCCAGCAGGGTACATGCGGCATGACTACTCGCAAGCGGGACTTGTGACTTAGTCCTCAATAGCGCGTGATGTCACAGAGGCGAAGTGCGGTAGCGCAGTGCGATCGTGCCTACACTCACAGACTGGTCGTGAGCGTGAGTGTCTGGGTCAAATGGCGTCATCGTCATCGAAGCATTCCCCTTGCATATAACGGCTTCAAGTCAGTCGCGATCGAGCCTTCATTATTGAGATCGTGACCATCGCTTTGGCAATGCCACGAACTTCTTCCACCATCACTGTGCAAGATTCTTGAGTTCAAATCACAATGCAAATCAAAAATGGAGTCACGAACACGAGATGCTGCTACCAAGAAGTTTGATGAGTGTGCAACTCATGGACTACACGTGATGAGTACGTGCTGCTGGAGGTGACGGCACAGCCGCGAGTCAAAAGTCGCACGGCCCCGGCACGGAAATCTGAATGAGTGCTCGTCTCATTCGAAATTGTCAGAGGGTTAATCTGCTGCACACGCAAAGTCATCTCGAAAGTCACAGCGGACCCCTCTCCAGCACCTGTCACGCTCATTGGTACTGAACCCTTGCAGAGCTCTGAAGCGTCAAGCTTCCAGATTCCTTACCTTTTATTCAACAAGCATGCTCGACTCTGTACTTCGCACGCACGCACGCGTGTCAACGGTCGTCGCGCATCATGCAGCAAAACCGTTAGAAATGCGAGGTGGACCTCTTTCCAATGATCGGGACTGACCAACCAAAAGCAAGGCACTTTGGCAGTGAAGTGAGGCTCAGCGACGATGTGGACCCAAGCTCGATGGTGGCCTGCAGGGTGTCCGCATTCCAGTGAAGCCGTTGTACGCTGCTTTGCTCGTGGATCGAGCCAGGTACAGCAGTACTTGGACTCAGGCCCCTGACGAATCAGTCACGACGATTGTGGGTGAGCATGCTTCACAAAACGCCTGTCCACTGAGACTCACCCTCTCTCCTCGCTTCTCCATCGTTCGAAACGCTTTTGCTCAGAAAAGAATTTCGTTACTTTCGCTGAACAGCATCTCAAAGCTCTCAGCACCCCCCTCCAAGCTCACACACCCCACCCGAATCACTCTGCCTTCAACATGTCTCTTCGTCGCCGTAACTCGTTTCCCAATCTGGGAGCTCAATACCGCGAGATGGAGAACTTTTGTGGGCAAGTCGAGTCACTTCGCCGCACGGCGGATGACTTTAAGGTGGAGTTCTATGGTGAACTCACCTCCCTCAATCGCAAATTGAGCGATGAGGATCGGGAGTGGCCACCCAGGCCAACAAAGGGCTGACCCAGCTCAAAATGGACTTCATCGTCCACAAGAGCACGGTCAGCAACGACCAAATCTCTCTTGAGGACCGCGTTCAGGTCCTCGAGTCTGAGAAAAAGAAAAACCTGATGACCAAGAGTCAGGTAAAAAACTTGATCCAGGCCGCCTTGGCTCAGCACAAGGCGGACCATGAGAACCTCAAAAAGGAGGTTGGAACCAAGAGTCAAGAGCTGGAGGAGGTTGGCATCAAGTGTCAAGAGCTGGAGGAGAAGGTAGAGGTGCTGGCGTCGGAGAACGAGCGCCTGAAGCTTGCTGTCCAATGGAGCAAGTGCCTCGTCTTCGGACTGATTTTTGCTGCCATAGCAGTGGCGATGGTGACTATCTGGCACTTCACTGGAGACGGGCTCACCGAGTGGGCCCGTCATCCAAACGAAGTCCCAGAATGGCTGGTGGACTACCTCAAGCTCCGCCAAACCATCACCATCGAGCCCCCTCTCCATTGGCTAGACAAGGCCAAGCTTGGTGTCTCGAACTTCGTGATACATACCTTCTCTTTGCCGCCTCTTGATCATCTACCAACGCCTCCAACGCCGATCAAGGTCACGGACGTTTTAGGTGATCTTGGGGCCAAATTCTGGCATGCAGTTCTCAGCGCCAACAAGGACTGGATCTGCGGGTCGACGATGCCGACTTCTTGGAAACAGAAAGGCTCGCAGATCATTTTGGTGCTCTCTGGCAATTGGAAGGAAGAAGTCTCGAAGACGATCGCTTTGTGGCTCTCCAAGAGCTGGAAGGAAGCATTGTCCAAGACGATCGCTTCACTGCTTTCCGGAAACTGGAAGGAAGCAGGTTCCGCGATCCTCACTCTCTGGCATCATGCAGACGAAGCAAGCGCGGTCGCTGAAGTTGCTGAAGTTGCCGAAGCTGCCAAAGTTTCCGGTTGGATCAGTGCGGTGGCACTACATGTGCCAATGATCTTTGCCTGAGAGAGGTGTCAGGTGAGTCGCAAGCGTATGACGACCAAGTTAACCTCCCACTGACTTAATGTGATTTGCAGGTTACAACAGCATAGGGTTTCGCAAGGGCCAACATGACAACGATTTCGCAAGGGCCAA